GGGAAATGTTTCTCCTTGAAAGAAGAAAGGAGGGGAAAGAGAAGCAGATCTGCCCTGCTCTGGAACTGTAGTTCTGGGGTCGGGCTACAGAATCATCTGTATCCCCGTCACTTCACTGGGGAAGAAGAATAGAAAGAAGGTACTCTATTTATTTTGCCTGATTTGGAAGAACTATTCCTGTCTTCCAAGGATGTAGGTGTACTTCTCTCCAAGGTGATTGGTTTTGGGTGGTATTATAGTCAGTGTCCCTCACTCTTTTCTACCATCCTTGTTTAAACAAACAACAACAAAAAAAGGTATGTAAAAATATTTTAAAAATGTTGTGCTGCGTTGGACAGGAACTCCTCCTCCTGTCCCACGCCACCATCCACAGCCCCCTTGCAGCCGCAGCGATGGGGCTTTCATCCTCTGGTTCCACAAGCAGAAGCCAGATGTTATGTGATGGGAGTCTCCCAATCTCCAGAGTGGGAGAGTCTCCTCCGGAGTCTCCAGGGCTGTGTCCAGCCCTGCACACTGAGCACGAGAGCTGCTAGGCAGAAACCTCTGCTTAAAAACAGTTAGATGCTCTCTCTTCTCAGCTTTCTAAGGTAACCTCATCTCTTTAATAACCATCTAGTTTATTAGACAGTCAGATGAGCCCCTAACCTCATCTATCATTTTTATTTCTAGTGTGCAGGCACTAGGTATAGGTTTGAATGTGAATACTTGTAGGACCAGGAATGAGACACCTTTTATGAATGTGACGATGTATTTCTCAAAGGGCCGTTACTAGGGGAAAGTTGTTTCATAAATCAAATAAATCAAATGCAACTGTAGATGTCCTAGTCTTCTTTTACTGCAATAGTTCATGGCTTCAGAGACACAACTTTAAAAAATGTTTTAAGGAGTGTTAGAAACAGTCAAGGGTGAGAAATCATAGATAGTTAGCATTTTAGAGCTGAATGGTAAGGTAAAATAGATATTTTTGCCAATGTTTCTGTCATTTGTGTGTGTATACATTCTTTATATTTTCTCACTATCATTGGATTTGTTGTAATCTAGATTTCCTGTCTCCCAAAGATTTCACTTCGTGACAGTAGAGGGCTGGCAGTGTTACTCAGCTTTTGCTGATGGCAGTTGTAAGTCACTGGAGAGCTGGCAGAAAATAGCAGAATGTGACAGCGCCTTAGAAAAAAAAAAAGTACAATATTATTGCTGGAACTAGGAAGGTTGTTTACCTGCTGTTGACTTGCTGTCTTAAACATTCTTCTTTCTCCCTAGATGTTTAACATAGGGAAGAGAAAAACATACTCTCTTTCTATCCTTCTGTATCTGTCACCTCCATAAATGCAATCAGGGAATGGCTTTTAAGTACTCAACGCACAAAATAAAGAAGATAAGCTGTCATCTTTGAGAGAAGCTGGCGTTGAACCTTCTAGTTTGGCTCTGCACTTTCACTGTCTTCCATAAACCTGGGCTTGGCAGCAAGAGCACAATTTGCAGTCAGCCGTCCGACTGGAACAGGTTGGCTTCAGGGCCAGCGCCCTGGGGCTGGGTCAGCTCCTGATAGACCTTCCATGAGCACTAAGACTGTCTTGCAGGTGGGTGGCAGCGTGCACAGTGCGTGTCAGATCCCACACTGGGGAAGCCCGTGGTACAGGCTTCCCAGCTGATCTTGCCAGCTGTTAGAACATATCCTATCTGTTAATATTCTTGTTTATTTTCAGTGAAATTAAGTGCTGTTAGAGTGACAGCCTGGAGGAAGGAGCCTCTCCAGAGAGCAGCGCTAGTCCGCTTAGCAGATGGATGTTGCTGAAGGAATATTCCACAAGGCTGTTCCCAGAGCCACCATTTAATGCCAATATATTTGTTGCTCAGAGTCTCACTCAAGGAGGATGTAGTAGATCTGGACCAGGTTCACAGAAGGAACAGCTGGGTCAGCTGGGGCTCTTCAGCACATAAAAGAGATATGAATAGGAATATATAAACCAGTGGGAAGCTGAGAAGCACGACTGCAAAATGAACGTCTGCCGTCTCTTCCTTCAGAAGAACTAAGTTCAGCAAACAAACTAACTAGAGCCAGGTTTAGATAAACTGTTCTTCAGGATGTGATGGCATAGATGAGACTTTCATAGAGGCTAATTCTGGAAGCACGTTACAGACAAGGAAAAGCATCTGCTCTGCTCTCAGCTGCACTGCTACGATTGCTAATGAAGGGCAACTGGATGCTGGTAGCAGTGGTGATTTTCACATCTTTTGTCAGCTGAACAAACTGCAAAATTCATGGCATTCAGCCTTTAAGCACCCTTCAAGTAGGAGTGACTATCAACTATCAATTAGCTCTGTATTTTGGAGCAAATTCTTTGACCATTCTATTCCCACACATATCTGTTGATATGTGCAGGGAAATTTTTGCCATTTTTATAGCATAGTACAAGCATTGTTTAAGCTGTACATTTGTTCTCTATGTAACTTGCATACCTTACTGTATGCGTATGTAAAATGAGATACTCATTAGAAGAGGAGTTCCTTTTTATAAATCATTAAGTAAATCATAAATCATAAATTTATAAATCATTTAAGAAGTAATTTTTTTTTTGTCCTAACCCCCCGAAAAGCTTTGGCAGTTTTTTTTTTTTTCCCAGATACATTTTTATTGCTAGTTTTGTAAGACTCAAAGGACTTGAGAAGTTGTGGTTTGAATTTGTGCACTTGGGGAGCTTCTGGGATTTAGAGAGAAAAATGCATGGAATGTAGTTCTCATCAGAAGCTCTTTTTCTCTTTCGCTTATTACATAAAATGATGATGGCAGGGAATTGTGGCCATCCTTTTGCTTTCTCAAGCTGCATGAATGGTCCTGCTCACCTGAGGGCCACGGTGTGAACGGCCCCAGAGCAGGCTGGCACCTGGGATGTAATTGGCTTGTTAAGGGGCCTGTGGGCTGCTCGCTGAATGACTTCTCTGTCCACGTACAGCCTGGGACCAGTCACAGGGCCTTTATTTAAAGACATGAAATCTGTCAGCAAAACGAAGTCAGCTTAAATATCAGCTGAGGCGTGAGCTCCCTTTCAGTTTCTGTTGATTTTATTCCCTCCTGCTCCTTCCTGATCAAGTTTCTCTCTGCTTGAGCCAGACTTGCCGACACTTCAAGTTCTTATTCTGCATTTCAGTTGTGTGTTTGTGGGTGGCAAAGTTCAGGTGCCTTTCATACTCCCAGCCTTGAGAAAAGTCTGAACCACTGAGGAGGGGAGACCTCTGTGGGTCTTTGAAATTCTTTTCTTTAGCTTCTGCAGCTCAGTTAGAAATCAGCAGTAGTGCCTCTAGCACCCAAAGCACTTCTACTCAGGTCATGCTGTGCTAGTAGATCTAACACAAGTATCTCCAGCTAGCACCATCCTGAAGAATCCTAGTTAGGAAACAACACTCCTTGTGCTCCCCAGATGCAGAACAAGAATTACTACAAAATTTACCAACAAGGCATAACAGACAAGTAGGCAAAATACATGGAAGCAGTGGGAGAACATGGGGGCTGTGCCTGTCCTCTGGGCAGGATGCTTATGTAATGCCATGTCTGCTGGCTGGCCCCGGAAACATCTGCAGGTTGGGGATGAACCTGTTGCGTCACTGCGTGCCACAGTGTTGAAGTATTCTGTATACTGAAAGCTGGAGGTGATTCTTGGCATTGGAAAAGAATTTCAGATTCTTTTCTGAAGAAAAAAAGAAGTAAAAAAGAAGAGGGGGAAAAGGTAAACTGCAGGGGATAGGAAAGCTGGGCAATTTCTGTTCCCCTCTCTAGTTTTCAGGTTTTCATCACTCTTAATAAAAAGTTAGGAGGCTTTTGTTTGTTTGTTTTAACCCTAATCTTAGTCTTGTCTTGCTCTTGTGTTCATTATCTTTGGTTGCATTCTTCCCCATGCACTTTTTTTTCTGGCTAATATTTTTGGTGGTTTTTGAAGATGCAGTCATCTTCCTGCTCCTCAAAGAGCCAAAGATGTCTAACTGAGAACTTCTTTCTATTCAATATCAGTGTCCTGTGGAGACTGTGTGCCACTCCTCCGTCTCTAGGGGCTGGTCCATTTAAGAGGCAACAGCCTGGCACTTCTCTAGACTGCACTGTGACCAGTGGCAGAAGAAGAGGTTTTTGGTCAGAAGATGCAAGGGAGGCTCTAGAAGCCCCTTTGTGGGACTTCCATTCTTTGATGCTTGTTATTCTCCAGTTCACATTGTTGTTGGGAAATAACCTATTTTGCGTAATAAGCAACTGAGGGATAGGACCCTGCCTGTGGTCCCTCAGAGTGGGTGCTTAGGGAGACAACACTTGGGTGCCATCTGTGGGCACCCAAGTGGGCCAGGGTGAGTGTGCTGGAGAGGTGTTGGAGTTGAGGGAGAGCAGTGTCTCATTCTGCAGCCATGTGTGCACGTGCTCTCTGCACTGGAAAGGGCAGTGTTAAAGGCACTTGCCTGCAGGTGCTTCCTCAGGCTTATGTTGAAGGGACACTGCTGAAAGCGGGAAATGGATCAGCCAAGGCATTTTGGAGAAGAGATAGTGGGAACAGGGGAAAGTGTCTGCCTCCCTCATTAACTGGAAAACACAAGGCACAAATGAGGATCTTGGAGGATATGAAAACAGCATCTGGGAAATGCTAACATCAGGACTGAAGTAGCAATGAAGTAATGTTAGCCAATGATCTGTTCCAAAACCTGGGTTATTTGGGTTTTTGGGAACACCTGGCTGTTCTCTTGCTGGTCCTGGCTTGCTGGGTATGCAGCAGCCTATGTCTGTAATCTTTAACTTTGTAGTGTCACAACTGACTGTAGGAAGAAGAGCACTCAACCCACAAGTCCCTGTCAGTCCCTAAAGAGGGAAGGGATTACAGGCATCCTGGTGTTTACTTTGAAGGTGTTTCCTGTGAATGGGTACAGGCCTTCCAGGCCTGCTAGGACAAGTCTACTTAGCAGAAGGTGATCTTGATTTGACTATGTTTTTCCCTCTATCCCACTCTAACCTCCTTGTCTTGCAGAGAAAGTTCATTCATGCGACCAGGAAAGACAGAGCGCCCTGGAAGAGGCGAGGCAGAACCCTCGAGAGGGCATCGTCATCCCCGAGTGTGCTCCAGGAGGGCTCTACAAACCTGTGCAGTGCCACCAGTCCACTGGGTACTGCTGGTGTGTCCTGGTGGACACAGGACGCCCCCTGCCCGGTACTTCTACTCGGTAAGAGCAGTAGACCTTGAAATCAACTGGAAATCTGCAGAGGTGCCCACCAAGAGAAGATATTATGTGGAAAAAAAAATTGCTACACGCAATGAGTTCCCATTTCCCAGGGCAGTCAGCCTTCACTATACTACCTTCCCTAGAGCTAGCAATGCCTTGTATCATACAGAATACTGCTTTTTTTCCTCTGTTTTCTAACAGGGCAGCCCTATCTTCTGGGGTTTGGTGGTGGCAGGCATCAGACCTTTATTTAGAGTACAAGACAGGGGCATGAGCGATGGAAAAGGGAAGAGGTTTTTGTGGCATTATCCTCTGCTTTGTATTTCCATGTTGCAGCTACCTGGATCCTGATCAATACAAGTCTAGAGTGGGTCTCGGTTGTGTGTTAATGGTTTTTAAGGTCAAGACAGATTTGTCTTTAAGTGCCCTCGGTATTTTAAACCTCTTCTCTTGTTATTTGGATGTCCCAGCCATTGGGACTGGCACCTTATAAGGATAGGTCATGAGGAGCTGGGTCTTGAATGCTTGCTGGATACAGTGGTTGTGCAGAACACGGGCAGTTTTGAATAAAAGCACTATCCGTGCCACTGAGAACAGGATGAGGACCTGGTACTGTTTATTAGACTGTAGGTGGTACTGGATTTCAGAGGATACTCCTCTCTCCACTTCCTCCTGGTGTTGCTAGCTGTCCTTAAGAAGCTTGATGCCCGAGAACAGTATTTCTTCTGCAAGTTTCTGATCATATTTCCCATAGAGAGCAAATGAGACAGACCCTTAGCAGCCATCTTACAAAGCTAAAGGTGTATCCCATGGTTCAGGATCTGTTGTTCTCCTTTTTCAGCTATGAAACCCCGGTGTGTGAAAGTGATGCCAGATCGAAGAGCACAGAGATTGATGATCCATTCAAGGACAGAGAACTTCCAGGTCAGAGAAATGGGAGCCTGTCTTTGTCTTCTCCCTTTTCCTTGCCTTGAGCCTCTGAAGAGGCCAACAATATTGTTCAGGAGATGGGGAGGGGTTTCCACCAATTGTCTGTATTATACCATGATTTTTATTCTTTGTTATTGTGGATCTCCTCCAGTTTCAGTAATGTAATGTAAAAAAATGAGTGCCCTGGGGACTGGTTTATTGCCTGTGTGCCCTTCTCTGAAAATGTGTCTGAAATCAGAATTTTCAGGAAAAAAAAGGATGCCTGGAGGTCCCTTTTTGAAAAGGGACCTTTTCATTGGCCTCAGCATTGAAAGCTCTTTTTCAAAGCCTGTCTGGGGCAGGATCTTTTCCATTTAGCAATGCTTTAGTTTTCAGCAGCCTGATGCCTCCTCAGCAGTGAGCCGGGCCACCACTGCCCGTTGTGGGTGCTCTGTCACAGGGGTCCAGGCAGGGCAGCACTATCAGTGCACTAAGATCCCTTAGCTGCTGTTGACAGATGGATCCCTCATTTCCTGCCTGGCACCCAGTCTCACCCCCTTTGCTGCTTGCTCATCCCCTTAACCAAGCAACTGAATTGTTTTCTGGTTGCACTCAGAAAAATGAGTTTTCTGGTTGCATGCCTTGCTCCTGCTAGGAGATGGTACTGGGCATAGGGGTCTGCACAACTCTTACTCTTGACATTCTGTCTGCTTTTGCTCTTATTTCTCCTTCCCTCTGCCTTTCTAAGGAGCAGAGTGAGGGTTCTTTGGGGAGGGATTAGCCATTGCTCTCCTTGGTGAGAGTCTGACTGCTTGGAAAGAGAAGATTCCTGAAGAAATGGTAGCAGAGAGAGCAGAGCAGAAAGAACCGGTAGCTCTGGATCCTTTCTAGTCATTTTCAGGGTTAGCGTAAAGTGAACCGTCCCTGAGGATGTTAGCAAAGTAAAGCAGATTTGTTCCTGATTTGCCTCCTGTGTCTCTTAATTCTCCCATGCCAGCTCCTGACCTTGGGCTAAGCTCTCTGGTTAGCAACTCTGCGCTCTGCAGAACTCTCTCCTGTCCTGCTGCTCGTTTTCACAAGACTTGGAAGAATTTCCTATCTGCCTTTCTTTCACATTTGAGTGAAATTGGCCAATTGGTTCAAGTATCACTTTGTAGAGGATAGGGGAGAAAACCAGCTAAATGATTGCATTAAGGCTCATTTCCTTTGGAAATCATGCTAGAATAGAATAACCTTTTTTTTTTCTTCCTTTTTTTTTTTCTTTTTTTCCCTCAGCCTCCTCTTCCCTTGCTTTATTGCCTCTCCATGCACTGCCCCCCGCCTCTCTGGAACTCCTCTTTTAAAAGCCTTTTGCTTTGAAGCTCTTTCTTTGAAAGCCTCTTTCTGATCTCTCAAGGACACAGATTGGTTTCTTCCTTCTCCCTCACCTCTGGACTGCAGCTGCAACTGGACAAAGGTGCAGAGAAACTCCATAAGGTAGAAGAGGACTCATGATACGCTAAGGGGTCTGGTCCTAGCATCACGCCTCAGAGGAGCTTCTCTCAGCTCAAGCACTTTTTCCATACCTGGGTAGACTTTCAGCTCAATGCTAGACTGCACTGGCTTGAATGAGGGCCCTGCCACAGCATATACTGGTCCGTTGAGGAACTAGAATATGGAGCAGGAGAGTTACCGGTCCTGGTTTGTCTCCCAGAGAGAAGTTGTACTGCTTGGTCTCTTGATGGAGATTTGAGGTTTGCTTGATTAGCTGCACTTGGATGTGAAGATTCATAGATGAGACAGAATTGCAAGGAAGGAATGAGAGGATGTTTCATTTTTTTCTCTCTCTTTTTTTTTCTTCTTCCCCTCTGCTCCTGTCTTTTTAAAATTCAGTTCTGGTGACAATTGCCTTGAGCCTGATCCTTCCGTTAGCCCTCAGCTATGTGAGAGGGACTGCTTACCTTATCCTTTCTCTAGAGAGTTCCCCATGCTTCAAACCCAAAGTGCTGCAGGCAGCATGTCCCTGTCTTGCATGAAGGGACCTGCAGAGGCCAAGGTGGGAGAGACAGAAGTACAAATTCCTGCGCACCTCCACATACCCTCTTCAAAAACTGTATCCTGGCTGTTCCCACAAGACCTAGAAGAAAGAAAAACGGAAAGTGTTGCTTGCACATAGCAAATAGCAAGCTGCTAATTCCTGCAGACGGTGAGATGCTGAGACCCCCGGGAGATGACTTCTACCAAATGATTTTCAACCTTCTCATTACTGCAACAAAAAGCTCCTTTAAGTGAGTGGTCTACTCTGGCTGCCATAGCAGCTTACCCATTACAATGCTGACATTTTCTGGACCCTGTGCCAAACGAGCGCTAAGGGGTGTGCGTGTGTGTAATACACATAGTATGGAGACAGACTAGGGACTGTTGGGTGGATATTGCAGAGAACAGAGCCTGTAATGCTGCAAAGGAGAGAGTTTTGTTAGAGCAATTTGCAAGCTGCTTTCAGCTGTCAAGGGACTAAGGTTAGTTTCTGGTGCTCTGTTGTGGGGTACCCGTGCTTCTCTGCTTGCTAGGAAAGACAGAAAGTGTTGACATTACTACTTGTTACTAGGGGGTCACTGTTCCCTTGATATATACATTTTCTTAATCAGGTGACTAATTGACAGTGAATGGTGATTTGGGGAAAGAGGAAGTAAGGGATGTGGTGATGGCTTCCATGCCCGTCAGAGAAGACGATGGAAAGGGGAATCCTAAAAGCAGTGACCAAAAAGGTTTTGTGCAAAGTGAGGCCAGTTCTGGAGGTGGCAAGGATAAGTACTTTCTTGGTAGGCTAAAAGTGATTATTATAATATTAATGTGATGGTAAATGGAGCATTCTTATTGCCTTTCCTCTGTACATTCAAGGAGAGTAGGAAAAAGCAAGGAAACTTCATAGGTTGCCTCATACAGGTGAGGATGTAGATTCTCCTCTCAGCCCATATGAGGCTAACACTGTTAGGGCAAGGAAGCTCTGTAAGCCTGTGGTTATGATAGTGGATAACTGGATGGTCTCAGGACTAAGTAATGGAAATGGTTACCAAGCTCATCTTCAGACACTTCATCCTGCCTAAACCAGCAGTGACCGGAGGCTATTGCCATGCGATGGCTTTGCCTGACGACTTCCCATGCAGTGTGATTGTGCAAAGAGCTGAATTGTTGTGGAAGCTCCCGGCAGACGACGTGCTCTGTGCCCAAGGAGAGTACAGGCAGCAGTGCTTGCTTTGGCCCGTGCTTTGGGAAGCTTTAAGCTGTCAGCTAGGAGCTCAGAACAACCACGTTTTCAGAGGAGGATGACTCAGGAGGTAGTGAGTTGTTTTGGAAACTTCTCTGCAAGTGTCACCATGGGAATTCCTGTCTGCCAGGCGCTTCCAGCACCTCCCCATGGTTGTGCTGGTAGGGAACTGGGAGAGGCTGTAAAGCTTAACCACACAATCTTCCTGCCAGATGCCCCTGCGTGTGCCTGGATAAAAGCAGCAGGATAAATTGCCAAGCAGAGAATCCCACTGTGGGATTCTTCAGCCTTTCTTTGGGGACTGCGCTGATGGCTGCCTGTTGCAAACAAAGGAGGCTCTGGCTATTCCTCGCTGAATTCGGATTGGAGATGCATCCATATTAAACATCCATTTTTTTTTTCTTTGTTTTCTTCCTCCCCTCTTTTCTGCAGGCTGCCCAGAAGGGAAGAAAGTCGAGTTTATTACCAGCTTACTTGATGCACTCACTACGGACATGGTACAGGCGATCAACTCAGCAGCACCTGCTGCCGGTGGGAGGTGAGTCTGGAAAGCGCTGCAGCTTAAGGTGGTGGAGGTGGCTGCAGAGCTCTGGGGGCCTGGGAGGAAGGGCCATTGCTGTGAGCTGATTCCTTCAGCAGCATTGCTGTGAGAGGAGCTAATGCCTCATCTTCAGACTCTCCGTTCTGTCACTGTAGCCCTGCCTGCCTCTTCCCGCCCCTCCTTCCTGGCAGCTACTCCACCATAAAGGTTACTATAGCCCATTTGAAGTGTGAAATGAGAGCTCAGTGGGAGGAAGTAGCTTGTTCTTTTGTCCTCTGGTGCATGAAAAGGCCTAATAAAATGCAAATGGGTAGAAGGAGGCCGTGTGGCCTAGTGGCTACCACAGGGAGTGAAGAATGTGAGCTGGGTTCTTGGCAGTGCCACAAGACTGTGGTTTCTCTGTGAGACCGAAGCCAGTCTGCGGATGAGGAGAGTAGCTGTTCAACGTGACCGTGCTCTCTGACCAGTTGTCTGTTCCTCCTGCTTGGAAGGAGCAGCAGGTCAGGCCTGTCGCTGCAGGATGTGCATGGGAATATGTTCTTCTGGGCAACCCGGGAAAAGCTGAAGTCTTGTCTCCCCCTTCTGCCTGGTAACAGAAAATCCCCTTTGTGCAGCAGCCGCAGTGCTGTAGCATGCCAGGCTGAGCAGGGCACTGAAAATGGGCTGCCATGGATCTAAAAGTGCTCTCCAGGCTTAGCTAGGCAATGCTTCTATGCTCCTGGCTGAGGAGAGGGACAGTGCTGTCTTAGGGGCTGGCTCAGCATCTTCATGCTCACAGAGGTGTGGAGATGAAGGAGGTGTCTTTGTGCATGGGTTATTTTTATGGTTATTGTTCCAGCCTATCTTGAACAATGTAGATCCAGTGCTTTCCCCTTTCAGAATGCAGAAGGAAGCAATGCCATCTTCAACTGCTCTGAACAAAGACTTCCTGGGTGGCACTGCTGTCTCTCTTGTTTTTGGTATGCCTTGCTTGTGCACCCATGTGTTTTTAACTTTGCATTTGGACCTTACAAATTAAGCCAGTGGCTGAATGTCTGCAAGCTGAATATTCTGTAACCCATCGAATTAGCAGTATATGCCTAGTGTGTCTGTATTCATATAAACAGGATGAAAAATGCCCCAAGGATGGGAAATATGTCGTTCTCTCCCAGCCATAAGCATTCCAATGTCAATTCTCTGTAATTTGCGTGGTTCAAATGCAGTGGGTAGGGGTGGCAGGAAGCCCTGGAGAGTATTTGATATTTATTTGGCATCCTTGGCACAGAGACTGAAACCCAGCCAATGTAATCATCACTCTTAAAATAAAGCTTAGTATAAACCAATATTGTAGCGACCAAAGATGTATGCCCTCACTGCACTTCTATAAACGCAGCAGGCTTGCTTCCTAATGTTCCCCAAGTTTTGTGTATTTCTCAGCTTTCAATAGGGCCCTTTCTGGCAGAATTTTTCACTTCCCAGCTCTTCACACAGTCATCGTTTTGATATATTTACAGTTCCAGTGTCAGCAGCTCAATGTGCAGGAAAAAAAGAAACCTTTTAGTAGGCCATCCTTTGTAAGGCACAAGGCTACTACCACCAAAATAATCTACCTGCCCACAGCCATGATTAAATTCAGGAAACTACTCTGGTATAAACTTCCATGTGTATTAGTTAAGCTAGACACATATCCAAAAGAGCGTGTGTCAAGATTTCCATTGCAGCATGCCATCATGGGGCCATTTATTTTGCAGCAAAAGCGTTTCAAGGAATCCTGGGTACTTAAATAAAATTTTAATCAGTACAACTTTCATTTCATATCCCTGAGTTTGCAGAGTTGGGAGGGTGTCTCTTTACAATGAGTTCTGCTTTCCACGTTTCCCAAGGGTAGAAAAGTCTTGAGTCTACTCTTTAAGAGCGTCTGAGGATTGTTTCAGTGGCCCGGCTTCTCTTCAGTGTTGAAAATGAAAGCTCTATTCTGAGAGGAACGAAGGGATATTTTCCCTATAGGACTAATCAACTCGTGTCCAGCCTTAACTACTAACAAAGTCCTGGATTTAGGAGAGTGCTCATCCTGTTCCTCCCTGGCCCAGGTGTGCTGTGAATGTTGTGTTGAAAAGAAAAGCTGTCTGTTTTTTCTTAATGTCGGCTTAGGCAATCATATTTGTAAGGCAAGCGTCACTTACTGCAAGCTCTTCTTTTCATCATAACAATGGCAGATGCTGCATTTAAACAGCATTTTAAACACACACCAACTTCCTCTCCAGCCTCCCTCTTTCTGCTCCTTTACAGTGCTCGGCATTTCATCTTTCAACTGGAAAGACTCAGGCTTCTGACCTGCGTGACTGGTCTTTTTCCATGTTTGAACAAACGCAGCCCATGATCTGAAGCAAACTTTCATGTGTTACCAAAAAAGCTTAGGCCTGTTGCAAGAGAGCAGGCCAGGCAAACAGCAGTCTATGTGCCCCATGTCATTTGGCTCCATACATTGCCCCGTGCAGTTTGAGATGTCGCAGGTGGAGAGAGGGGATGTAGGACCTTGCTTCCAGACGTGGGGCATGGGCAGAATTAAGACAGGAGCCAAAAACAAACAGCTTTTGAAGTGGAGGAGAGCTTGTGGGCCTGGGGAAGAAATGTGAACATTTATAGGCAGAGTAGTAGATAGTAGGAGGATTAGGTAAGGGAGGGGCAGGAGTGGGTTGCCTTCTTTGGCAGCCGACAATTGCATTAGTTACAGGACTAGCACACAATATGCAGCTTTGAAATTAATGTTAAAAAATATCAGTCACAGACAAAAGTCTTGCTGAAGATTCAAGGTCTGAAAAAGCCCAACAGTGACAGTCTTGGAGCTCAATTTTTCTTAGATATTTAAACAAAGATTGAAAGATGATTTCTTATAACTAGGTTATTTCAGGAGATCCAACATCTCTTTAGTAGAGCAGAATGTGACTAGCTGTACAGAAACAAACTTGTGATCAAAAGTGCTTTAAATGGAAAGTGATTCTAAGGCTGAACCAAGTAATGAGAGGGGGAGGATTCCCTCTCTGCAGGACTTTCATCTTAGGCCTTATGTCTTTCAAAATAACTTGCTTGAATCAAGCCTAAGTTATTAAGCATAATTTGGTTCATGTTCTGTGAATATGATATATAGGACATTAGATGACCCTGTGGCCTTCAGTCTGAACCCAAATATGCAGGGTGAAAAGCTCTTGCTTTTGCTGAGGGTCATCTTCAAGACACTACCTGTTTATGCGTCCAAGCTATCTGTGACTTTGCACTGATGTCCTTGTTGCTTTTACTTGGTGAGAGGAAGACATTGGCATAAATGATAGGGATCTGCATTTAAAATACTACATAAAGCTGTGATGAACAGCACTCTTTATCCTTGGCATACAGAGAAACAGTCTAGTAGCAGCACAGTGAGGTTGTACAACTTAGGTCGCTGCAGGCAATGTAAGTAAAACCTGATAAGACTTTTTTTTTATTGGGCATGCTTGAAACAACCTTGTAATCCCTTATAGGTCTTGTCTCGTTTAAGCAAGTTCAAAGCTATTGACTTTAATTGAGTTACTCTTGCTTTACAATAATGTAAATGAGATGAGAACTTCCCTTCCTCATGGCCCTGGTTTATATTACAGCAAAATAGCCAAGTAGACTTTATTTAGACTTTTGAAACAGAAAATCTCTGGTAAAATTCATTCTTAAGTTAATGTAATAACTGCAAGGCACATCTTGTTACTGTATGTTTTCAAAGCAATTAAAGGAGCGTTTGTAGGAAATTGGTTTATTAACCAGTGTTTGGTATCCTTTTGAAAACACATATATCTAAAGTTATTTATGTATAAATCCTGCATAATAGGAGCAGCTTTTCTTTTAATTCAGACTTGGCATTTGTACGTTTTAGTCTATGACTAATTTTCTAAGTCAGACATACTTGTATCACACAAGGCCTAAACTAAAACAGAGCAAAGGGGATCCCAGCCTGGATATCCCTGATCTAAGAAAGTATTTTTGGTGCCTGCCAATTCAGAAATGAATTTTAATTGCCAAAATGTGTGCACTGTAGCTTGTTACATGAACAGCAAAAATATTAATGCCCTGTGGAATTTTAGGTTAAAGGGGCAGCTTACAGCAGTTGCCCCTATATGTAACACACCAGCTGTGTCCCTTCATTTTAAGTTGCCAATTATTCCCCATGTAATAGCTCTAAAAAGTCCTTCAGAAAATTGCCCCCAAGGTTCCCTTTCATGCTCTAGCTGAGTAGTTTGAAGCAGACCAGCAAAGCTCGGCACATCTCCGGGGTGTTCTGAAGCTGAGCCATGTTTTAATAAAGATTGACGTTTTCAAACAGTATAGGAAAGTTAATGCCCAACGCCTATTGCATTTCAATTGAAGTTGGATACTAGATTCTCTTTATGCTCCTATGGAAATTCTAGCCTAATTAAAGATTGAGAGAGTTAGTGTAAGAGGAGGCTCTTTGAAAAGTCAATGAGGGGCAGAGGGAGATGTTTCTTTAAAAAATCGTTTAGAAGGTTTAAGCTTTCTAAATGATTTATCCCCCAAACTTCAGCAAAGTTGTGTTCAGAAAAATATCACATACTTGGATAGAGGAGAGGTTAAAATGGAGCCTGTAGTAGGAAGATAACCCAAGTTTTAACTGTGGAGGGAATTATCAATGCTCCATAATGAGTTTGTTTGGCTTATTCATGGGTTAGCTTGGTTCTTTTGCTACAGGAAAAAGAATGAGGAAAACAAGCATGCAATCCTTTTGCAATTTCATTAGAGTAATCCTCTTACATTCAAGCCATGTTCCACATTACAGTTTTTAACTTTGGGACAGGCAGCCGCAGAGAAGAACAAAAGGAGAGCAAGAAGCGGAAGCAGAGCCAGAACAAGTATGACTTATGCCTTAAGTTATTAAACTCTTATCACTTTCCACCTCTCACACTGGGGATCTCCTTAGTCAATAATTCTCTGGGATCCTATCTTGCAATTCTTTAGCTTTGTTCACATCCATCTTTTGACTGGTGACTGAGCCAAGCAAGATATAGATACTTGCAAAATGTTTTCAGGTCACAGAAACAGAAAGTTCCAGCTGTGGTAGGAATGGACTTCAGTTTACTCGGAAGTGTATTTAGAGGATAATGGGATTGCCCACTGTATGTGGGAAGCACCTGACATTGCCCCTGTGCCCCTGTCTTGTACTTTGTTTTACACATCTTCTTTTCTGGTCCTTCCCACTGACTTAACTCTTCCTATCTTGCTAGGCTGGAAAGCATTACAGGATGTATGCAGAGGGCATGTTCAGGAAAACTGTCTATATGGCATTTTGGCATATACTTTTCTGGTTTTCTCTGCTCCAGAATTCAGTGCAGCTGCAAAAAGAAACTTGCCCTTGTTTTTTTACAGTCTTTTTGCTATCTACCTGCACCTCGGTTTTGCCAGATGATACGAAGATTAGATTAGGGGAAACTTGCCTCTGCTAGCAAAGTAGCATTGCTAAAATTAATCGTTAACTTATTGCTCATTGCTCCCGCAGCCCTGAGCTTTTGGTAAGTGCATTAGTTCAAGTTCCTGTATAGCAGCCTGCAGGTTATATAACCCTGTCTTTGCATCAGCACCATGGGCACCACGTATCAGGGCAAGGCTCTCTGTGCTCTAAGTATTCCCTCCACTCCTAATCTTGAATTGTAAACATACCACCACCTCTGCATCCATGACTCGCTTCCATTGGCAGATACATGAGGGTGAAGAAGGTAATGCAGGCTGGTTTTTTTGTTTGTTTGTGGTGGTGGTTTTTGCTTTGTTGCTTTTTTTTCCCCCCCCTTTTGGGTTTCTTTGAATTATTAATCATCCATTAGGGTGTGTTGTTTTGTCATAGTGTTAAAGAGTACACTTAGAGGAAAAAGCAGGTACAGTTGAAATGTGATCAGCATGAGAAGGCTGAAAAACTCGTCTTTTTTTTTTTTTTTTTTTTTTTTTTTTTTTTTTTTTTTTTTTTTTTTTTTTTTTTTTTTTTGGTATGGTCTTTTTATTAGACTTCTACAAAGTCTTTACTGCATTGGAATAGGAGATTGGAATTCGGTGAACTTTCATATGACTAATGTTACAACAAGAGATGTTTTCCTGCTGGGAGTCAAGAGTGTACAGAGCAGCTTTGCTCTCACTTGTTTGTTTTGATTTCTTTATGGTCTGAATGAGTAGAGAAGCAGCCCAACAAATGATGTGTGCCTCCGAGGGCTGATTTATTTCCCTTGCAACAGGATGGAGAGACAATAGAGAGAGATTCTCTTGGAAGGCTCAGTGAAGTTTGAGGCAGCTGACATTTCAGTTGACCCAGTATGTATGTTGTCATGGTGCATGATCAGAGCTAGGTGGCTAGCAATGCTGTGAATCCCCATAAAATCATGTTTCATGGATGGAGCTCCAGTGTCTTGTAGGAACAGCCATCAAAATCATGGGATGTCTGCGTATTCTGTTGTAACCTCAGTCATCTCAATATATCACCTGATTTTACCATCAGCCAGGTAGATAAGGCTGCACTGAGATGCTCTGGTTCCTCAGAGTACTTTCTGGCCTATGATTCTGTATCTTCATTGAAAAGAACAGGCAACCAAGACGAGAACTGCAATGCTGCTTAGCCAGCCAACAGAAAGTGATAAAACCTTAATAATGGCAATGTTTTCCTTACTCCTGCAGTCTCAGAAGCTAAACTAATACCCTTTCGTTCCATCAGCACGCTCTAGCTTTCAGCATGAACGCTCAGTGTGTGTTTAATGGCTAGGATAGATATATCATCACCTCATGAATAAGGCATTTGTATTAACCCATGCATTTCCTTGTTTCTCTTTATGGAAGTACTAAAGGGAATTATATTCCCTCTCTAGGGTCTGTCTCTAAAATGGAAGCACTTTTCCCTCCAGTTTTTGAGTGACTCTTCAGCAGGTAGAGAGAAGGTTGTGTTTCTGTCTGTTTTTGTGCTCTTAGCTGTGGGGACGCTCTGCTGTTTTTCTGTTTCTGCCTCTCCAGTTTTAGACCTTCAGGAAACAGAGGTCAGAGCCAAGGGCAAGCCAAGGTGCAGACAAACCACAGATCAGGATGTGTTCCTATATATCAGCAAAAGCAGAAGATCCGCCCTTGCAATCCAGAACTTCTAGTTCTTGCTTGTAGTTGTTGGAAACAAGCTAGTCTTTGAATGATAGCCAGCTTATTTCCAAAAGGGAAAGAGGCCAATGACTGTGTTCATAAATGTCATAAAAACAAGCGACAGGATGTGTTTTTATTCTCGCCTGTCATCCTGCTCTTTGCAAACAGTTTCAAGGTTCTGAAAAGTCTGGGCACTTCTTTAGCTTTCTGGGAAGGTCTTTACAAATCTCCTCGTCCATAGGTTGCACGAGGGGCTCGCCTTTTATTTTGGCTCCCAAAGCTAAGCCAAATCGAGTTCCCAACCTCTTCTTCCTCGCCCCAGTGTTTATTGCAGTGTACACTGACCAGATGCTGTGACTGAGTGCCAAGCTGCTTTTCAACTAAGAATTAAATGATGGAAATAGTCACAAATAAAACCTAAGGAAAAAGGTTGTGCAGTTTATTTTCTTCTCTCCCGTGTGTGTTTATATTTGTCAGGCTTCCAGATGCCCCTGGATAGAGGCTACCTTTCTAAATTGTGTTTTCATTTGCCAAACTGTTAGAGAAGATTACTAGGGATAAATCTTCCTCCTAAACTCCAGTGCTTGCTTCCTGCCCCTTCACTAGTTACAGATATGACTAAGGTGGGGTGGTGGTTAGTTCTGTAGCTGCTGTCTAGAGGCAAAATTGATCATCTTGGAAGGTCAAAAGGATTATCTCTCTTCTACTCCCCTGAAAGAAATTTTCAGTATAACAGTTAAATATTTACTCCTATTACTTTCTGAAATTAGTCTTAATGATGACAGTCTTAAAATGTATTTTACATCTTAAAATGTATTTTAAAATGCATTTCTGCTGTGAAACTCAGCCTGCATTGTGTTTCATCATCAGCTAAAATGCCCTGAACTCTCACCACAATCTGCATGCTTGGAGCCTGCAGCTGCCCCTCATCACTGCCAGGGGAGGACTTCGGCAGCAGTTGGAGGTGTCTCCTAGAATAACTCAGAAGCAGAGCAACTAGTGTCAGTGTAGCAGATCTGGCTGCTGCTATCCACTGATTTCCATGCACTGGAATTTTATTTTTGGGAGAAAGAAGGCTCAAGCCTCAGCCTCTTGCCAGCATCATTTCAGCTAACCCTGTTGACGTACTTGTTACAAAGAGAGAGGACTGTCTGAGAGCAATTCTTGGAGCAATCTTTCTTTTAGAAAACGTTTCTCCCTTGGCCCTCTGTACGATAGGAGGAGGAGCTCCTATCTCCCTGCTTCTGCAGCAAATACCAGGTACTCGGATGCTGCTTACACAGTGGGACAAAACCATGCTTGCTCAGTACTGGCTTGGAATTGAATGGCAGCATTTTCGACTGCTGTATCCTCAGCTGTTGGGTTTTTTGTCATCTTCTCTCTGATCTTTTTTGTTGTTGTCCACAGGAGGAAGTTGGGAGCCAAATAATGTCAAACTTGTAATATCAGAATGAGTAAGAAATGTAAGAGAATGAAACTGCCAGTTCTGTAGTGTTGCTTATTAGTGGATTTGTGGTGCTTGTCTGCTGTGGAATTCTTGTATATAAATCAACCATGTGAAAAGCATTAAATATGCTGCAAATGCAACACAGGAGTTCTGATCATATAAATAGACGGAGTAGGAATGTTGCCTCATGCCAAGGACATTTTCCGATTGTAAATGTCTTGCATTAAATTAATTTGTTCTCTTTCTGAAGTTCAGGTGGTGTTATCACAGAGGCTACCATGATCGCTGGCATTCATGACACTCCTCGTAGTAGTTTCAGTGGGAGCCCAAGAGTATCAAGGACCCTTGAGGCTGCTGCTTGTGCTTTCAAGGGGATCCTTTCAGAAACAGGCCAAGTTTCAGCCACGAATGTCAGGAGAACCTGATGTGCTGAGGGTACCAATCTCCAGAACCTTCTTGGCACCTCTTGTTGATGTGACAAGACGTGTTTTAAAAAAAAAGCTAATCTCTCTCAGAATAGCTCAGATAGGAGATTATAAGGCATGCGTACTTATCCTGCCTTAAATATGGCATCGTGTGTTAATGACTCAGGAAGCAACTCTGGCTCCTTGGCACGTGCTTGTCTGTTGATGAAAGCACCTCATTCCTCAGGGCTTGTGCGTCCTGTCTTCCAGGTTCTCTGAGCCAGACCCCAGCCACACGCTAGAGGAGCGAGTGGTGCATTGGTACTTCAGCCAGCTGGACAACAACAGCAGCAGTGACATCAACAAGCGGGAGCTGAAGCCCTTCAAGCGTTACGTGAAGAAGAAAGCCAAGCCCAAGAAATGTGCCCGACGTTTCACTGACTACTGTGACCTCAACAAAGACAAGTCTATCTCACTGCAGGAGTTGAAGGGCTGCTTGGGCGTAAGCAAGGAAGGAGGCAAGTGCTTTTCTTTTCCTGTTACATGAGAATAAAGAACTGAGATGGAGTTAAAGCAAACTCAGGAAGCAGTTACCTACCAGGTGATTCAAAAGCATACATTTCACATGAGAAAATGAGTGGGACTAATATCCTACCATGCAAATGTAGGTGGTGTGTGTGTGTGTGTGTGTGTGTGTGTGTGTTATAGCTCTGTTTTACAGGTGCTTGAGCTAAGCACTGTAGAGACATAAGTCAAAATAATGAACCTTGCCCAGAACTCTACTTATGCTGTATAAGTCCTTGGAAACTGTGGCTGAGATCAAGTTGACTTCCTGAATAATATACTGCCAACTGTATTCTGCTGTCTGAATATGTAAGCTGGATGATGTATGACCCAGCAGATGCAGTCCTTCTCCAGAGATCCTGTTGACTAACAAAAATAATATTTATTTTCATTACTAAATCTTGCATGCAGGAGAGTGGATGACATGGAGAGAAGAGCAACTCAGAAAGAAATTGTGGGACAATGCTGTTGTCTTTTTTTCCAGGGTTGAAGAGCTTAAGATTGGGAGAGAAATAAGGCATGTCAGTAATGAGGGGTTTTCTTCCTTGTCTTTAGTGTCTTAAGCAACCACCCCGCCTTCCTTCCTTTTCCTCTTTTTTTCATCTTCACCTCATCTTCTGCCAGGATCTGGACCAAATCAGTATTTTGGGAAATTTAATGAATTGAAACTCTTCAACCCAAATTCAATAATTATCAGTCATTCTTGACTGTAGACAGGTTTGCTTGGCAAGAGAGGCAAACAGGGAGATTCCAGGGGACTCATTTCCTGTGCAGGTGTATGGCTATGTGCACTGCTCTTGTTAAACTATCATGTTGGTTTGGAAGGCTGGGTAGCTTTCCTCAAGTTTAACCTTTCCTGAGTTTCTTTACTCAGGTTTAGCACAAATAGGAAGGCAGTCAGTGCATTTGGGTATTGGGGAAGTTGCCTTTTTTAGGTGTTTTGCAAACATCTTAGAATAATAAACCTGGCACATTACTCATCAGCTGTGAGAAGCATTCAGTTTCTGTGGCTCAGTGGATGCTATTTCTTAGTCATTGGTACCTTAGTGAGGAATTACATACCAAATAGCAACTCTGTCCCTTAATTTTATTGCCTTCCCAATAAGATGAATATGCCAAATGAGTTCTGTTGCTGCTTGGCCTGGGCTAAGATTCTCTGGAATCTGATGTCTTGGCCAACTGACTATTCAGAATTTAGGAAGGGAGGAAAAAAAAGGAGGAGAAAAATGAGCATCTTTGATTCAGAGTGAAGGGAAAAGAAAGCTGTGAGTGAGACGTGTCGTTGTACTATTTGTAGAGAATACAGCCTGACTTTCTTGATTTCTTTCACTGCATGAGGACAGGATTATATGTGCAAAAATGACTCTAGCCCTGCGTCACACAGCTTCACATGCCTTTTATGGACCCAAGAAGCCTCAGGGATCAAAGATAAATGGCTGAGGTATATGGGAGTGGAACCCTTGGGGAAAAATGCCTGGGAAAGTAATATAAAGGGCTGGGAGCAATGCAGAGAATACATGCTAACCAGTAGAAAATAACTGAAGGAGCAGACTCTAGAGATGCAGTAAGCAAGCTGGTGATGGGCCTATTTAAAGAAGGTGGTAGATGACCTGTTTCCCCAGCTTTCTATTCAAAGAGCCTCTGAATGCATGATGAGAAATACAAATGTTAATGTTTCTACATTTTTGTCAGATTTTTACTTTTTAACATTGTTCATTTTTTTTCTGGACAGTTCCTTCCAAACATGGAAATAGTGTTGCTTGGTGGAAACACAGGGCATAAATTAACACTGTTATGTGCCTCTTGGGCACTAGATGGATTAAACAAGTTTTATGTGAGAGAATTCAGCAGGGATATTCCTAAGGACAAACCTGAATCTAAGCTTAGGATCAAATCTGAGATACATAATTCTGTTCATTCTTTCCTCACTAGTTCTTGATCCATACAGTCACCTAATATGTTTGCGCTGTCAGTCAGTGGTGCTTCAATGAAGAAAAACTAAGAAATTGCTGAGGAGTCCAGTAGGTCTGGTGGCCATTTTGCACTGATCTTTCCGCTCTGCCTAGATCAGATGCATCAGGGGCAATTCTGATGGAGAGGTGCCATTCTCAACAAGTGGAGAAGCCACTAAGAGTCAGCTTTGAGTGGCTTGCAAATGGTTCCTTGCAAATGGGGCAGAACAGATGGAAGGTTTGTAGCTTTTAGTGTACCAGAAACAGTCTTTTCCTTCATTTGATCAGCAATTGTCTGTTTGAAGGACCGTGGAAGCAAAACAGACTGATTTACAACCTGTTAAAAGTTAGCATTCATCAGTACAGTCTGCACAGCCTGAGTCAAAGGGGAAGCCATCTGTGATCAAAGAGCAAATTTAGCTCTATGCAGTCCAAAGGCATGGTCCTTGAGAGGAGATGGACACATGTTGCAAAGCTTTGCTGGGAAGTTACTGAACCCAAGATTAATTGGAGTCTAATGATCTCAGAACTGTAAATCTGAGCAAGGCTTGTACTAATTGCTGGCTGCAGAGCATTGGAGTTCAGTTTTACCTCTATATTCTTCCAAGTTTAGAGGACAAAGTCAGCATGTTGTGCGTGCCCAGAGAGCAGCTAAGGAATTAAGCAGGGAAGACATGTCCTTCTGCCAGATGAAGGGAAGTTTCCTTCTTCCAGTTCACATTCCATGATTGCTTTGCCATCCAAAGGCTTGTCAGACTGGAGGTGCTGGGTATGTTTCACAGGCCATGAAAGCTTCTGGAGTGGAACGAGACAACTCTCTGTGGCAATAGACTACTGTCAGGAGCACAGTTGGGAAACGGGATCAAAACATCTTCGTTAAAATTGCAAGTTGATTATGCAATATTGTGTTTTGGTAGATACTGTTTTCCGTAGATGTGCATATTGGCCTGTGCTTGTACTGAAAGCAGCTAACTGAAGGGGATATAATTTGCCTTTGGAGTGAAAAGTGTCATTTCAAAGCTTTGGTATCAATTTAGGTGAAGTCTCCCATGCCTTTCTGAAGATGCACCGAGTCTCGGGCAAAGCAGTGGTACCTTCTTTCCTGCCACGTTCTTGTTGATCCATGTGGGCCATGAGAGCAGAGAAGGGGATTAGGCACATTCTAGCAAAACCTGGCCATGGCCAGAGCTTGTTCCACAGTGGGAGCAAAGGAGTGAAAAGCCTCGCAAGGGAGAGCAGACGTTTTGCTGCACATACGCCGAGCGGAGGGAGATGGGTTTGTTCCAGGCAGCCCAGGGCCCGAGCCTTAGGTGCTGCGACAAGCCAAGGAGCGAGGCAATTCCTGGAAAAGAGAGCGCGTGACGTCGTTTTACATTCATGTGATATTTCATGGTGGGAGCGGGGGGGTTGGAAACTGGATGTCTGCTTCTGTGCACACCCGAAGATGCGGGGCCTGGAAAAGCGCTGGAGCGAGGCGGCCATGGCCCAGGCTGAGCGTTGGAGCAGCACCCTCTAGGGGCCTCCACCTTGCCTGGCAGCCCGAGGAAAAGCACAGCTCCGCAAGTGTCCAATAAGCTGTAGGACAGAGGCTCATAAAGGTCCGGGATTTTTATGGCCAGACCCCTGGGTGAGTCCCAATTAGGTCTGGAAGGATCTGCCTTTGGGCAAGAGGCCTGCTTTTTATAGAGAGGCGCAGAAATGAGTTAACAGGCATTCCTCTGATCTTGCCAGGACACATGGCTGATACAGGGCTAGGTTCAGGGGCCTTAAAATAGCTTACCACCTTTATATGGCTCCTCTTATTAACAATTTTTAAAGCCAACAGATTTTACTTTGTGACCTATTTTAAACTCGGTCACCACTACATTTCTTCCCCATCTTTTCCTTTCCAGGGGCTCCATTTCTTTCTTATAGTTCAACCTTCCATCTTCCTGTGGGTCTTTTCCCAGTGTTTCTCCCCATTTTTTTCTAAGTTTTATTTTTATTCTTCTCTTGCACAGAGAAAATGTTGGGTTTTTTTTTCCATTGGATGAGAGCACCTGTAAATATTAGTGCAAGTTAAACTACTTAGATGTAGTGTGAAGTGAGTGTGTGAAGTGAGCTGCACAATCGTGTCAGATGCTCACACACAAAACTCAGTGTTTTGCCTGGCTAAAGTGAAAGGTGGCAACTTGCCTACTGGTGCTGGCCGCAAGCAGAAGTTTCCACTTCCAGTTGATGGACCCCTGTCTCAAACCCAGACCAAGCAGATGATGGGAAGTTTAATAAGCTTTTGAGAGTGCCAAGTTCCTCTGATTCCAGCCTTGCCTGTACCTAGCTCCTCCTAGCACCTGGTTTAATGTCAAGGGGTGAAGCCCTTGGCATTAGCTCCATCTGGTGTAGGGTGTATGTTCCTACATCTCATGATGCAGTCCCAACTGTGCAGTCTGTTCTTCTCCTGCTGGATATGAGTTCAAGTGTTGATTTTAGACCTATTTGATCATTTGGTCTAAGCTTTTGGTCAGTAGAGATTTAATAAGTATGGACTATCTGTATTCCCTACACCTTCATTTTGTTGCTTGCTCCTCTCTGTAGGACATACCCAAGGGCCTGCATTTCTTTCTTCTGTCATGTTTGCCATTAGCAAAAACTATTTTGGGGAACTTCATGTCATTCCTTGCATCCTTTCATTTTTCTTTCTCCTTCCTCAGTTTAATTTTGTACTTGTTGCTTCTTACCTGTGTCAAACCTCTGGACTTCTTGAAGTTGAGATACAGTGCAAGATACGCTGCATCTCAAGCATATTTCTCTGACTCTTGTGTATGAAACTTAAGGAGCACTGGCAGCAGTCAATATGTGGGGACTCAAGGAGCTCCTTTGTCATGCCATGACATTTTTTATTGCCTTTAACATGGTTCTTGGATTTTACAGGTAGCCTGAGCAGTTTCCCCAGTGGAAAAAGACAAGGCCTTAACCCCTTCAGTGAGTATCTTAATTTTTTTGTTTCCTTTTTCTTGCATGATAGACATTCATACTCCCTAGAATTTGTGCTTCGTTGCTTTCTTGTGTTTACAAATAGTAATTTAGAAACAGCTGGAACCCAAGTGTGTTCATAAGAGGTGGGAATGTATTAACCTCCACTAAAATTTGAGCAGAATCATTACCAGAGCTGCATGTCAATCTGCCATGGCTCCAAGTTCCTTTCTAGTTGCTCAGAATCCCTTGTGTAATGCAAGTCACCTCCCTCCCCAACTTGTGCATTGCATGTATAGACATTGAAGTTAATCTATTTTTATGATATAGTCATTAAGCATTGTGAGAGCAAAATTCTGCAAACAATTTCAGATATGATTTTCCTGAGTAATTTTACATTTGTCAATATTTGTCCACCTTCGCAGGGTATGTCAAATAGCACTGATTCCAACAAGGCCCTTCTGATAAACTCTCTCCTTTGTGAAAGCCAGATCTGTACTTCTGCCTTTTGCTCATCATGTTGTCACTCTTATTAATCTACAAAGCACACTTGCTTTAATCACATAAAAACTTTTATTCTTCAAGAGCCTTTAATGAAGGACTTAAGCTTTCTGAAGAAGCATGGATGCTGTGGTAATACACATCCATCTGACGTGCAAAGCATTGTCTTTTTGCCATTTACTGGGACAGTAATAGCTTAGCAGATCCCTGCAACTCTCTGCTCCAAGAATCCCCTCAACAGATTCAGTAGCACAGTGGACATCAGTGCATGGTGCGTGATGGATGAGCAGGGAGGCTGCTGTCTTTTGATGTTGCAGAGATGAGGAGAAGCAGCCTGGCCTCTCCTTGAAGGCCTGCTTGCCTGTCAGGGAAGGAGACTAGCTGGCTGCTGCTCAAGGGGATCAGTAGTTGCAGAGTTGCCTTAGATCAGTGGGATTCTGCCTCAGCCATCACAGGAGGAAGAGCAGTAGGAGAGATTTCAGACCAGTTGTTTGTCTGGACTGCAGGGCCATTCCCAAGAAGGGGGAGGGAGAGTGGTGGTTTTTAGTTAAAAATACCTCAGTCCCCAGGGCTCTGTGTGACTCACTGAGCACTGGTTTTTCAGCTAGGCGGGCTCATCAGCCCCTCGCCCTTCTCAGCCTCACAGCTCGCTCTGGGATCCCAGCCCTCCGGGGCCCACAGCTGCAACAGGGGCTCTACTGTGTGTCACCTCAGTTGGCTGCCATTTGGGGTTAATTTGCCTTTCTCCACCTTTCCCTGCTCCTGCCTCTGTGTGTGTGTGTGTGTGTGTGTGTGCGCTTTGCCTACCCCGTCCTTCTCAGTAGGCCGCCTGGTGTAGGAGCAGAAGCGGGAAGGCAAGGCAGGAGCCGACCCAAAGGAAAGAGAGACCCAGCAACCGATGGACAGACACCTTGCTGCTTGTGAGCCAGCAGGCAGCGCCAGCAACATCCAGCGTGGCAGAAGTGGCACCCAGAACGTTTGCACTTTTTAATAATTGGTTTGGGTTTGGGTACGTTTTTAATCTCTTCTCGATGCCATTATCTAATACTTTGGAAGGGGGGCGGGAAACAACAGGATCAAGACTTTCCAAAATTGGAACAGCTACTGACGACTTAAAATTGAGTTCCCTGGGACTCAAAGAAAGAGATTTTTATATACTGTATATAAATATATATGTAAATTGTACAGTTGTCTTGTACAGGGGTTGGAGTCACTGTTCTGTCCCTCCCTTTGCTTTTGAAGGCTATTAGAGCTAGAGGGACACTTTGCATTTAATGGATACAGCAATGCAATGATTTCTGCTGCCAAGCCATCCTTTATTTGCAAACTGATGTCCTTAACATCCCTCTGCACATAGGTACGAGCATATCAGCATGTCTTATGTTCACAGATGTTCACACAGTGCCACAGCCAGATAACAAATGCTTCCTGGGAGCAGCTGAACCCCATCAGTTCTAAGTGCAAAGCACTGGGTTTTTGAGAGAACACAGATTACATCTAATTATTGGTGCACTGCAGAGCTGCGTAAAGTAGGCCCACGGAAGGGTTGTATTAAGGAAATATAAAGGTAGTTTCTGCACCTGTTGCAGTTTGGGCAGAACTGAATTGCAAATGCAGGTCCATGCTGCAAGTATCTACCATCTACCATAGCAAGTATCTACCATGTATGGGGAATCTAACACTGTAAGGACGTGGGAACTGTAGGTCATAGTTGAGTCAAGAGAATAAAGTCCTCTCTGACAAGTTGTTCATCTGTATGATGTATAACAACAAAAAGGTTGTGAAGTTTGCTAAAACCAGCATCAGGCTGCCTGTTGTTTTGCTGCAGAGCTAAAAACCTATTTGTCAGTGCGGAAGGACACAACGATGCTGGTGTTCCCCGAGAGTCTGATTTACTTGCCCATTTGTAGGGGATATTCAGCGCAGCTTGCCCCTTCTCAGATGGGAATCCTTGTGCCATTCATCTTGGGACCAAAAACCTGCAGTCAGAGATGGCATCATGCCATGCTAATATGGGAATCAGCTCAGCAATTGCCTGCAGCAGCACTGCGTTACTGTAGAGATGGGGCTTGCCCCGTAGGGCCTGGCTGCTTTGGTAAAAGAAGCTGTGACAGGGCATCTTCGTGCTGTGGGGTTGTGATAGCATGAGAAACACAGCAGCAGGAGTGTCACCATGCAGCGAGTTAGAGCCATGCTGGCAAAACTGGAAGTTAAGAGACTAAACTTCAGTAACTGCTTAAAATTGGTAATAGCTCTTATCATGGGAAGTAGATTGGAACTAATTAAAGCATTTGACATGATTGGGAACACTCTCATGATCTCTGAAGTGTACAATTTGCCAGCTCAATGTAAAGAAAAACTCTCCTCTTTAACAAGAGCAGCTCCTTTTGCTGGATCTTCATGCTTCCTCACATACAATAATAGATATATTTTTGTGGTCTGCCACCTCCCATCTTCTCAATTGCATCATTTAAGTACTTGGGACATATTCTGTGTGTTGAAATTATTTGGTTTAGTGTATAATTATAAATGGCCCTGTTATTCACTAATTCTGTTGTAGGAGAGAAGAATGAATACCATTGTATAAAAAATCCTCACCTTTTCGTTGTATGTTAGTTTTAGGAGTTAAAGCTCTGGGTTTTCCTTTTTTTTTTTTTTTTTTTTTTTTTTTTTTTTTTTTTTAATATATCTGCATCCAGCAGAAGTAGCAGATGGATGAGAGATCTCATCCAACCATTGGGGGAAGTCAATTCCCCACAAGACCAGGGGGAGCACAGACCTCCTAAAACTCATTGTGTCTTTTCTTCTGGGAATACCTCTAAGCCAGCCAGCCCATACTGTTGTTTGCAATGTAAATTCTACTGCAGAGCACCTCCCTGCCCTCCAAAAGGCTGACATTCACGTGCAGTTTGCAATTGAAATGGAATAAGCTCTCCAAGGAGGCCAGGCTAAGAGCAGCTGTTGATGTTCGCGCTGTTATGGTGGGGATCCATGTCCCTGTGCTGGAACTGACTTTGCTAATAGATTGTGGTCCAAGGGTTTTGTCATCTCCCTGTCTGTCCATACATGAGGAGTTTGGGTCATGGCATCTTCACTTGCTCAATGTGCACAGTCTTTGGGGCAGCATCTGGCAACGTTTGTGCAAGGTTCAACCAGCATCAACGTGTGCTGGCTGGCAGGAAATAGGTTACGTGTTACATGTGTCTGTGTTGGAAGTTCACACAGGTCCGGGTTGGGAAAAGCCCAAATCCATGGCCAAGCAGTTGATGCTGGTTGGCGCACTCATTGCCAGCTTCCTCCTCCTCATCTTGCTGTTCTTGCCTGGTGCCCCTGGCTGGCCGCTCTGACCTGGTGCCCTCCTGTGGGACATGGGACGTGTCTGCTGCTCTGCCTCACAGCAGCAGCATCCCACACAGCTGGGCTGGGGTGAGTGTCAGCACTGCACCTGAAAGCAGCCCCTGGACATCTCCTCATCTCTACAGCTCTGCTCTGAGCAATACCTGACAGCAGCTGGGAAGAGGAGAGACGCAGGGATCCGCAGCGCACGTCACTGGCTCCTCCTGCCAGAAGCAGGAAGCCTCCCTTTTTTTTTTAAGCATTTTTTTCTGATTGGGGAAATAGAGAGTTGGAGGGAGTAGTATTAACATGGCACTACTTTCCATGGCCTTTTGGGGGAAACTAGTTCAAGCACGAGATAAAATGTATATTGAACTTAGCCTGCCCCAGCACATGTCTGCCTATGGCATTGTTTGTTAGACTGAAAGACATCTGTTTGATTTGGGTTTTGTAATAAAATAGATAACTTTTGCTCCAGTGTCTTGTGGTGGTTTCTTGTAACAAAAAGAAGATAGGTGAGAAGCAGTTGATGTCGCTTCTGGAGGTCTCCTAAGGCTTGAAATTAATCAAAAATAGGAAAAGAGTTTGAAGATGCTAATTATTCTGCCATGCTTTCTGTACCTGGGCACAACATACCTACCCAAGACTCAGTCTTCACAGGAAAAAAATAACTGTGGCTGCCAGATACTCAGTGGAATTTATTTTATTAAATAAATAAAGGAGGCAAAAGAGCAAGTTAATGATGTTGAGACCACTCAGCAGAATGAAAGCAGGACCTGGTGAAGCTCTGCAAGGGAGTTTAAAACACTGGCTAGGGGTTTTCTGGCTCAGATACTGCTGTTTTTGGAGCATCATAGAATACATGTGTGATCCCAGAGGAGCGACACAGAAACATCACCTAATGAGAGAGGAAAAACCTAGAGAGTGTTACACCTGTAATTACTCAGAGAATTGTAAGATCGCAAGAAATGGCAGGTATGCGTTTGTTAAGGTCTTGTTGAGGAGAAATCGAATCAAACAAACTTGATTCCCTTCTTCGACAGGATAACTGGCCCCGTGGCTAGAGGGGGAGCAGGAGATGTGACAGCATCTTGCCTTGGGTAGGGCTTCTGGCGCTCTCCCAGCAGATCTTCTCCTAAGCGAGCTGAGGAAATGTAACGTGTTTAGACCGAGACTATACACTGAGTTCAGTGTCAGACCTGGAGTCCCATGTGAGTGTCTCTGTTCCAGGATTTTTTTTTTCCAAGCACCCAAGTTGTACAAGAGAGTTCTGCACGCAAGTACGACTAGCACTTCTGCAGCGCAAGCCTCTCTTAGCAGCAGCGGCCTCTTCCAGGGAACACATCACTTTGCATTTTACATCATAAGGAAAAAAAAATCTTACTGAGATTTCTTACAAATTTCAAAGTATTTCTGAGACCAGTGGATTGGTCTTTTTTTTCCATTGCATCCTTCAAACTGAGCCAAATACTCAGTGCATCCCCAGCAACAAGTAGCAGGTAGGCCATGATTTTTCCTTGGCTTTGCCACGTGAATGGCATTACAGTAGCATTGCCTGGGACATTCCCCAGGTGACTCGACAAAAGAAGTGGTGCCCCTAACTCCAACTCTGCCCTCTCACGTTCATTTGCAAATGGAGATGTGCAGAGGCAAGTGGAGCCGTATGGACTGCGATTCCTGAGCCTTAGAGCCTATGGAATTACACGTGACGCAAATGGCAGTCAAACCAGGGACATTACTTCAGATTTTTTTTTCCAAAGACAGACGAGGAATTTAGTGGTTTTAGTCCCAAAACTAACGTTTAAATGGAGCGCCCGGGAAGGGAGGGCAGAGGGAGGCTGTGCGGTGCGCATGGGAGATGCCCCTTGCTGTGCAGCCCGTATGGCACCCAGCTGCAAAAGCAAAATACAACATGCAGTTAGTGTGTTCAGCACTGCTCACCTTCCAGGTGTGACTCTACCTGTGTTTGGCTACAATACAGCTGATTATGGGAGAGATTTTAAGTAAATTAAGAAATCAAAAGCTTTCAAATATAGGTCAAAGAACCTTTATTACTTGATGCAAAGCCCTCACACAAGTGCAGTGCGGTTACAGCTGTACTGCAGCCTGGGAAGCCCTGTTTTTCTTTCTGTATGATTTTAAGACTATGGATGGAAGCACCTGTGAGAACAAGCCCTCCAGCGAGAGCTCTGCATCTCCTGGGCTGTGAGAACATTTAAAGAGTGCAATTCTGCATCGCTTATTAGTAAGGCGGGCGAAGCAATTCCATGTATTTGGTTTTCATAACAACCGTGTGAAGTGTCAACAGCTCCTTATGTTAAATGAAGGAGAAATCAGGACATTCTTCTTCTGTGTTGTTTTTCTTTTCTCTCAATAAATTGGACATTCTGGGATGCTGAAGAACTCAAGCTGGCCTCAGATATGATCACAGGTCTTTGTTGAGAGCAAACAGTGACTACACACACACACACACACACACACACACACACACACACACACACACACACACACACACACACACACACACACACACAGACATATATCTCCTCACTCAGCGCAGAGCCTGGGCTCATTTCTGGTGGCAGCAGTCAGAGATGGCAGCTGCTCTGAGGTGATGGCTTTCTCAGAAAGCCTGGGAGGAAAGAAACACTTCCTTGCTCTGCTTTTACTAAAAAAATAAAATAAATTCCTGGGGAGCTAATGCTAAACCTGATCACTAATGCTAAAAACGTGTCCTGGTGATGAGGCGGGAGGTGGTTTTACAGAGCGCTGACGGTCTGAAGACGGCATTTCTGGGACAATTAGGACAGAATTAAAAGCCTGTGTTAGGTTCTCCAGGGCCCGTGCACTGAGTTGCTGGGTTTTGTGTGTGAACGTGATGCTCCCCGCGGTGCCCGCTGCCCTCCCTCCAGGCTGGCAGCCGGTGAGTTTCTCTCGGCAGCGGGCGCTCATTCCAGCTTTAAGGCGACGGTGCAGAGGGCACCGGCGAGCCGAGCGGTGCAGCAGCAGCAGCACCCTGCTCGCCCCATGGCTGCTGCTCCAGAGCGGCATTCCCGGCACACGGCAGGGACGGCACTCGGGAGCGGCATTCCCGGCACATGGCAAGGTGGCCGTCCCGCAACGCTGCCAACCGGGTCCCCTCCGGGTTCAGCCCGGCTGTGAGGTGCCCAGGGCCAGCTGGTGGCCCGTGTCACGATGTCCCTGCCTCGGGCACGTGCAAGGACCCACAGCAGGGTGCACCCGTGCCCTGGGAGGGGGGGACAAACCCACTGCGCTCCCTGGTGACAGCGTCTGGCCAAGTCACCTTTCCCACCGCAGGCACAGGGACAGGCTGCATCACCGAGCTGCCTACATGCACTCGTGGGCTTAATTAGCTAGATATGTGTAACAGTTCATTCAAATGCTGGGAGCCCGCCTGCCTGCACACCTGGGCGCCCCGAGATGTTTCTGCGGCCAGCGCCGGGCCAGGGGTGCCCACAGACCAGCCCAAAAGGCACCACAACCCCCGCAACATGTGCAGAAGCAGCTCCCACCCCTCCGCAGCCCTCTCGCTGAAATCAAAGGCAGTAGTTTGGGTTCTGTCCCTGGAGCCAGCAGCTGCTTGGCTTTGCCTCCATTGCCCAAGTTGGAGGCTTCCTTTGCAAAGCACTTAGTGCTATTGCTATCCCAAGACCAATCCAGAAGAGCAGGAAAGCCATTCCCTCCAGCTGGCATTGCAGGCAGAGCACACCCCTGTTGGATTCAACAAGGAGAAGCTAGTGTCAGCACGGGGATGTTCTGAGGACGTGGCAGACTGTCCTCATGCCCTGGGCTGCAGCTCCTGCTGAGCATCAAGCCTAAGGCGCTAGTGGAGGTTGGCACCTCTGTGGTGCCACCTGAAATGCTCGAGGTGGACATGGGGGGATGATGGTGTGTAGCACTGACGTGGTATGTTGGAGAGTGGCACGGAGACAGCGGGTGAGCAGGTAGAGGGCAAGGTTGGCCCTTCGGGGACCATGATGGCTTTTCCCAGCTTTCTGGCTGCCGTGAGGGAGCCATGTGCACAAGGCAGCCACAGTTCCCAGCCCTTGTTTGTCCCCTCCCTGCTGCTAGCACCATGAGGAGCCAGCCACGTCCCTCCAGTGCCCACCACCCTCCACCCTGCAGGGACCCCCTCATGCTTGTCCCTAGGCACGGCTTGTCCCTAGGCCTAGGCAGGGCTCAGCCTCCACCAGGGCCACCATCCACTTGATGCAGAAAGCCACTTCTGAGGTCGCCACGGTAAAGGCCGGTCACCATGGTAAAGGCC